TTAAAATTTTTTAATTTTCTTAAGATACGTTTTGAAAACGACAGTAATCTTTATTGTTTGTAGAATTGGGTTGATTCAGAAACAATATGTAAATAGCACAAATTATTCAAGTCGGTGAAATAATCACAGGTATTAATTAGATCAGCAACTATGAACTATTTTATTTCAGTCAGATAAGGTAAAATAATTAATACATTTAAAACTATTGAAGTTTAAATTTACATTATGTTATATAGTATTATAGTCTTTATGTTTCATAGAATTATTCGAGATATATGTACCATAATAATGTATATTATTTAGTAGGTATGTCTCTAAGTTATTTGGTGTATTATGTATTGGGTTTTATAAAATTATGACTGTGATAGTAGTAATTATAATACCATCATGATAATTTACAAGTCAATGACATGGTTGAAATCATTTTCGACCTAATAGCTAATCGGTCGATTTTCTTAACCATTGAAAATTGTTGTAGGACGAAACGAGATAGAAATTAAGGATAAAAAACGAGAAATTATTAAGACATTAAATTATTAAGAAACTAATAAACTACAAGAAAGAAGGATTCGGCAGCAGCAGTATTAACAGCAAGAAGCTGATCTATTAAACGGTTGCGGATGCGAGGGAATATTTGGCACCTGAAATCCTCACGGGAGACTACGACGACAATTGTTTAGCTACTACCCCTGGACCTAGGCACACCCCCTGTTGGCTTACAACCTTCGTGTTAGTGAGGGTGAATTTATGATAATCGTACTGTATACTCGTCGTCGTCGTTAGCCTCTCTCAAGGGAATCTACAGCAACGTGCTGCCGCAGTAAAGTATTCACGCACACATACGCAAGTATTCTCATACTCGTGCACATACGCACTAGCACGCGCCTACACATTCGCCTGTCTACCTTACCTATGTATACTCGGTTTAGCAATTAGTATATTAAGCAAGGACAAAAGGCGACGGACGTTACGGGTTAACAGAGGAGACGAGGGTGGAGAAACTTATAATAATTACGTCACGAGGATTGCGGAGATGTGCCTGGGTGGGTGAGGTACATGGCAGTGTTCACCGACCTGTAAAACGCATCGCGACTAACCACAGCATCGGCGTTTTCCCAAATATACTACACGCGTATTCAACTGGAACAACTACGAGGACTATGCCTACGACGATGAGGATGACGATGACGACGATGGTACTCCCAACTATAATATTATAATTGTTCCTGTGGCATTGTGCATAATATAGACACGTAATTTATAAATAATATATTATATTGTGTAATAAACGCGTACGCCGTCGTAAAGTGTATGCGTGTGCACAAAAAGCAGCGCTTCTACGCCAAAAACAATAACGGTTAATTTGATTTGTGTACCATATTTTTTGTTTTTACTGTCCACCTTCACGCTTTAGTTTACTGCGAGGGCACACACTTTGGGAATGTGTAGTCTTTTATTTTTTATCCTGTAAAATATCTACGCGTCAAAGGCCAGATAATTAAGGGGGAGATGGATTACATAAATATAAGTAAATACCTTTGAAATCCTACAATTTGCACAGAGGGTTATGAAATATTTAGAAAGAATTGTAACGTCTATTACACAGATAGATCAGTCGATAAGGCGGTTGAAAATGTATCGATTTGCTTAACCGTAAAAGTATTCTTTGGAAAGAACCATATACTCGTATTAAAAATCCAAGTAAAATATATTTTAGAATGTATTCATATATATTTGTTTTTTTGTGAAGTGCAGTATTTTTTTCCACGACTGTAGGGTGTATTAAAGTACGTACATTTTTTTATTATATTCTCATTGAGACTTATACTCATCGAGTAAAATAGTTTCGGGACACATCGTATCGGGTCGGTTATTAGTAGGGCTTAGAAATTGATGCACTTTGCATTTTTTTTTTGGAATTTTTTAGACAATGCTCTCCTGGCCACAAATGTGTTTCATTAGTACGTGAATCCGAAAAACTAATATTTATTTTGCATTTTTTGGTGTTTATTACATTTGAAATAATTTTTTGACATTTTTCGTCATTTTTACTGATTTCATATTAGTTCACTTCTTATCCTTTCTTGTCGACCATTATGCTAATAACGTAATACTTGTCCGATTTTATCTCGCCGATTACATTCGTAGTTGTCGTATTGTAGTGACTATTATTATACCTACATTTTATTATTTTTTCTTAATATTCGATTAATATCCGAATTTATCTTGTCGATTACAGTCATCGCTTCGTTGTCATATTATAGTAAATAATACCTATTATATCTAGATTTTATTATTTTGTTCATAATATTTTCGAAATGACGAAAATTAAAATGCCGGTTAGTGTTTGTCTGTGCCTCTCAATCACTTCAATGGACGTGGAGAGAAGTTTTTCCAAGTATAAATATTTATAAACAGATAATCGTCGTTCATTTATTTTTGATAACATCAAATACGCTCTAATTGCACAATGCAATTATTTTGATTTTTGAGTAATTTGTAAGCTTTAATAAATTTATAAAACAAATATTTGTAATTTTTTAATTTCATATTTTAAGGACATTTTTTGTAATTTTTAAGTCTTATTTTGAGTAATTTGTAAGTTTTGATAAATTTATATAGAATATTACAGTAAAATAGAGTAAACAATTTAAAAAAATGTATTTTTATTAATTTAAACCAAATTGTTGTAATTTTTTTAGGTAATTTTTAAGGACATTTTTTTTCATTTTTTATGTTATATTTGCATCTTTTTTTGTAGATAATTTTTTAATGTTTTCAAGGTCATCAACTTCCGAGCCCTAATTATTAGGTTATACGATATATTTTGATTGATTTGCTCAGTAAGTTTGATGAAGGCGCTTCAGTCAACAGCATGCGGGGCTCCTGTCTATCAATGAATATGTTAAACTTACCGCTCCTGTTTAGATTTATATTTTTTTGTTGACACTTGAATAATTTTGATAAAATCGTTGAACAGTTCAACTAAATTTGGCCATAAACTTCCTTCTTCAATAGTCTGCGGAACGAATCTCATACTCACGTTGTTAACATAAACATGATTATGAATTTAAAATCATCCAATTCATGTTATAAATAATAGGTTATTTTGCAGATCAGGCCGTATTTAATGTTACGTTTTTAGTACGAAATGTTTTGATTCATTTTCTAAGCATATAGAGAACTTTTAATTTTATAATATTTATTGCAACTATAAATATTTAAATAATTTTAAATTATAACAACAAATAATTGGTTTTATAATTTATATAATATTTATGCAGATTTAATTTAATTAAAATAATCATTATGGAATAATGAATAATAATGAAGAATAAATTATTTGTATAATAGTTAATCATTTATTTTTTTTAATCATTTTATGTAAGTTCTTGATTTTGTAGACTTAGTACTACTTATTTTTTTTTACATAGTATTAGATGTTGGTTTATTTATTCTAATTACTAGAGACAGTTGATTAAACGCTTTTGGAATCTATAGTCTCCAATAAATTTCATGATGATAAATAATAGAGTTAAATCAAGATTATCACTTGTTATCGTCGATCAATAGATTTACGATTGAAAATTATTTAGGTAATATGTTTTAGTTGAACGCTTTTATTATTTTTATGACATAAATGACTGAGTCATTGGAAAGGATTAATTTAAAAGTAGTGAAACGCAGTAGAACATTAAGTCGATTTCCCCGTGTCGTGCTTCTCGATAAAGTGTCACTGAGTTGATTACGCTTCATATTATTTTTTTTTAATTAAACTGTCTGATTATAGCGAAGAAAATTTTTTTTTTGAGTTGAAGGTTTTTAATTATTTTTACGTCTATCTTAATGGTTATTAGTTATAACCATAAATTAAAATTAAAATGTTACTATACCACTGATTTTATAATGAAAAACCAATAATTTATATTTTACCATTTATTTTTAATGAGCACATGTCCGTATTTACAAAGGTCCAGAATAATAATATAGTGAATATAATATATAGCTTGAAAACAAAAATTGTAATTTTTTTTTACATAATTATTATAATATGGTAACATCAGAGTGGCACAAGATTATACAAACATGGCTTTATACAGTTAAAAAACGGTAGGTTTAGAAATTCCGACGAGAATAATAAAATTAGGAAGATATTAATTGTTATAACTTTTTTTTAAAATTAATATTATATAAACAAATTTTATTAATCTTATAATTATTGCAAACACAAAGAACGGCAAGCGAATACATAATGAACTATATCGATAGTTGTGTAATGATGTTATAAGCAATTTATAATAAACTGTACATTAATTCTTAGACGTTCTTCTTAAAATTATTTTGGATCTAATTCAAATTTGACTTACAAATTAAAATATGATAGAAAATTGATTATGTTTATTTATTCATAATACATCTTCATAATTACATAATGTATAAGTACTAAGAGACAGAAAATATAATAATATAGGTATGGTATAAATATATTCTAATGAGAGTTAAATAATTATTATTGTTTTGATTTATTAACAGTTGCAACAATAATATATCGTTGTTTTAGTTTGCGGGAAGCTATATTTTATCTACGATAATACTGGTAAATATTTCTTAATTTATTTTTGTATTATTCTGTGATAACTCAAAATTAGGTAAATTATTTAAACATAGGTAACAAAGTCATTAACAACAAATTCATAGATTTCCATAAATTAATAAACGTATGAATGAATTATTCAGTCATTTTGAGTATCTTAAGTTATAGTAAAACGAATACACGAGATCACGCTATTAGATGGGTACCTATATATATATATATATATGTCCACATCAAATTATTATGTGATTAATATTAATTTTTTAATTTTATGCTGACACTAATTAACAATTAAACCAATAATAAAAAAAAAAAAAAAAATAAAAATAAAATAAATTTAGTAAAAATTAAATATAGTATAGATTCTAATGATTTAACATGAACAATAGTAATCTGTTTACGTTAGATTTACATTCCATATGTTTTCATAAATGATTATTATCTAGATATTATTTATTATTATTACAAATATTGTTCATCGAACGTATGAAAGTTACCAACTCATAGGTTTTGAATAGAAATTATTTACAAGGGGCATGTTATTAGAACATTTTGTATTACATTTTAGTTTATTATTTTAATAAATACGAGGCGTTAAAATGTTTCGCATTCTTGGCAAGTTTGTGTTGTTGCTCGAGATGTGATGTTTTATATATTTTGGTATGTCGATCAATATTCAAAAAGATTCATACTCGAAAGTTTGGTTAAAAGAAATCCACTAAATAAAAGGCTGATAAAAAACTAAATATTGTTGGTGTGGATTTAATAGTGAATATTAGAAGAAGGGACACATCTCTTACCGCTGTTTATGTAAGTAATACAATAATAATATTAACATTATTTTACCGCTTAATTAATAACAAGAAATTCGAAAATTATAATAATATAAAACAAAACTTAACATTACAATTTATAGTCAAAAGTCAGGTCTTAAAGGAGACCTGACCATTTTCAAAAACTTTTTAAGACCTGAATCAGATTTTGTTTTTGATGTTAATAACTTAAGTTTTTACATTTTCCCATAACGTTTAATGATAGGGCGTTTCAGATGAGAGTAGCTTAAATTTATCATAAATTCATTTTTATTACAATATTAAAATTCTACTTAGAAAATCAAGTAATTATAATATATATAGTATCATTATTTTTTCGAGTAATAGAACGATTTCGAATAGCCGAGTACGCAAAGTAGTTTTTGGTGAAAGTTGGCTATAAATCGTGGTCTCGAGGATAAAGAAAAATAATATCAACACGTACAACAATCTTGTACGAGACGTCCTGCAGACACGTGGACGTTGCTCATACATTTATGTATACAAATTATTTACCCTAACATATATTAGGTATATATAATTAATTACTAACACCTGGCGGGGAGGAAGTCGAAAATGACTGTAATTTGATAGAACATACGGTGGAATGGTCAGGGGGCTGAAAAGGTCCGATTTCGATTTCGTGTTACAATAATTTCGATCCGTCGCATGTGCATGTACTAGAAGATATATTACGTGTGTAATACCTGTGTATCGGTCGTTACAAAAGTCGTATAAACGGTCGGAAGAGGGGTCCGGCCGGTCGACACGGGTGCGACGTACTTTACACGTACGCGCGGACAGACCGACGTCATGTATTCCAACGGAAAAAAAATGAAACGGTTTCATTGGCGATACACACGTGTACGTAGCAAAACACGTCCAACGCGCGATGATGCGACCGATCGAGATTGGATCAAGCGGCCGGTGGGGCCCAATGGGAACAGCGACAGAGTTTGGCGGGACCTCCGTGACAGGGTCTGGAGCCGAGCCCGTGGCAGGGTCCGACCGGCTCAGACGGTCGTCTCGACACGAACGCGTTCGCAGTCGTCGTCGTCGTCGTCGTCGTCGTTTTGTCAACACATGCTGTCCTTGCACTCCAGGTACAGGTCGTCCGAGGACGACGGGTACCGTTTGCCGAGCACGTCGCCCGCACCGTCACCGTTCGGTTCCAGGAACCGTTTGTCGAAGTGCACGCGTTCAACGGACATTGGGTCAGCCGCGGCCGGAGTCTTGTGCGGCGCACGTCGCCGGCCGTCCGCGTCCCGCTGCGACCGGGACGCTTTGCACCGCAAGCACACTACAGCGGCCAAAACCGTGACCGTGAACAGCAGCACGGCCGTGCCGCCCAGGACGCTCACGTACGTCAGGTTCATGGCGTTCCGGTCCGCGCAGTTGATCGGGTCCTCGTCGAAGCCCATCGGGCAGTGCAGTACGCCGTCACACCAGAAATCCGAGCTGATGCATGCGTTTAGTTCCGGGCACCTGTGAACACACAGCAACGGCGAGACAACGCTAGAGATTAATTGATTTCCTAGATCTAATTTCCAGATTAATCCCGTCACCTCAGGCCCATGTTAGAACCTTTACATTATATATACGTTAATATCTTAACGTAAGTAATAAAAAAAAAGAATAAGAAAAAAGTAAGAAATAAAAATCCTATTAAGAATTCAATTGCAATCCATACAATTTGGACATGTTAAAGTGTTGCGCCCGATCAAAAGTATTTCGGAGTAGTTTTAACTGATCGAATATCGTTGTCCATTCAAACGGGCCATGGTTACAACATTTGACAAATAACGTGTTAACCCACGGATCTTATTCTGCCGAAATAAATTTCCAAATTATTTCTACGTCGAAATGGAATGAACGTTTAGCCCCTCAACAGGTAGGAAAATCACGTCCGTGAAGTTGGCCCCCCTACTTTGTCCTATCGAATTCAAACCTTCACCAATATTTTGGAACTAATTTGGAACTATTTGGAACCAACTTTTTATAATTTGGAACTTCACCCTTTTCTCGAAATAAGAGATTTTCGGTTGGGGGGGCCAACTTCACGCAGCCCCCCCACTTTGTCCTATCGACTTCAAACCTTTACCAATATTTTGGAACTAATTTGGAACTATTTGGAACCAAGTTTTTAGAATTTGGAACTTCACCCTTTTCCCGTAAAAAAAGTTTTTAGGTTGGAGGGGAATAACTTCTCGCAGCTCCCCCC